TTTAATTAATTAATATTATAATTATAATTATAATCAAAATCCATACCCGCCCTATCGTCTCTGCTTCGATGTCCAGCACCCCCGGTTCCCTTTCCCCGTTCTCTACGTTATGGTTAAAATATTTGTAGAAAATTACTTTTGTTTTCTATTAAAAAATTTACACTTGAAAAAATTTCACAGTTGTACGTCTTTTTTTATTCAATATTTTCCTGTCTTGGATTCCTTTCTCTCTTGTCAATATCACGGCCCCGTCTTCAAGATGTTAAATGGAAGTGCCTGTCATTCAAACTCATGCAGGCAAAGCTGAGCAAGGAGCAACTTTCTGCAACAGCAGGACAAATGATTCAAAAAAAATAATTATTGGCCCATAGAAAACAGAAAAGGCTGGTGCGACTGTATGAAGAGAGATATAAAAGTTTAAGTGGATGAAAATGTACAATTATTACCACTGTCTGACATTGTGTGCCGGTGAGTGCCTAAAGCTCAGCAACCATGTGAAATGTGTTTTTATTTTTTTTATTTTTTATAATTTATAATTATTTATAAAAATAATTGAAAAAGTGCAAAAAGAATTTATGTAAGATTTGAACGTACAATTTACCTAGTAACAGCCCCTAACCTGTCCAATAATCCAATGACACCGACCGGAGCGGCTCGTTCTGAAATGTGTCCTTGAAATCTCTAGAGATCGAAGATATGACATTCACCTTAGGTGGCGTAAAAAATTGATACGTGGGATAGGGATACGCTAAAATTTTATAACTAATTTGTATTTTTATATTCAATTATAAAATATATAAAAAATATATAATTTTTTATTTTTAAATTTTTTTATTCAATTTAAAATATTTAATTTTAAATTTTAATATTTTTTATTTTTAAATATAAATAGTAATAAAACGAGGTGACATGAAAAAAAAATTCACATCATAAAAAAAAAATTCACATCAACATGTTTTTAATTTGTTTATGTTATGTCATCAAAAAAATAATAAAAAATATCACATAAACGAGTTAACGATTGAAATTAATAAAAGGACTAACAGAGTGCATTTTTTAAAATTTAAGGATAAAAAAATACAAAAAATTATTAAAAGACCAAAAAATTGTAACTCACTAAAATTGAGGGACCAAATTTAGCATTTAACCTTCATCTATCAACGAGAAAAAATGTCACAATCTATATATGCGTGACGTCTATATTTATACACTATGTAAAATATAATAACTTAAAAAGTTATCATTTCAAATTATAAATATTTAAAGAATAATGTATATCGGTTCTAACTTCATAGAGTTCTAATTTAAAAAAAAAAAAAATTATCTTGACTACATTTAATCAATGTAAAAAGTTATCATGATAATTTTATAAATTGTACAAAAAAATTATATGTAATTAGTGCAAGAATTTATGTAAGTTATTTTAATATAACTAGATCTAACCACGTTTTTTTTTTTTTTTTAATTTGTTGTTATCTAGATAAAACTATCATGTTTTTATAAAATCTAGTCATAGAGAAAAATGATCCCTTTATTCAAGTCCTAAATATTTTCTTTATATTTAAATGGTCCTATGTTTAAAACTTCAAAAAAAAAATTGTAAAAAAGAAAAATATATGTATTATATTTATCATTTTTCAAAAGTTTGTCCTCATTGGCTACATCCTTGAATGGCCACATTCATTTCATAACACACAATCCATTCATCAACAAAAACAATGTCACAATTGACATGAGCATGACATCTTGAACTCCACACCAAGTAAAATACAATAACTTAGAAAATCATTGTTCCTAACTTCATATATATATATAGAATAATATATATTAGTCTCGACTCCATAGAAGGTCTAATACAAAAATACCAGTCTCTAATAAATATTTTGAAAAATCAACCATTAGATCAAATGATTTATCTATGTAGATCATGCATATCAAACTTTAAGTTAATTTAACATATATAATCATTCGATTAAGAAATATATTTTTCATCGTATATTTAACAATATTAAATTTGTATATACAATGAACTAGTTGGATATATTCAATTCATCCAAAAATGAACATGTATAATATACATGAATATAATATTAAATCTAACTGCTAGTTTTTCAAAACTTTTGTTGAGGATGGTGTTTTTGAATTGAGACTTCATTAGTCGGAAGCGATATACACTATTCACACACATGCGCACACACATATATATATTAGAGAACCAACCTTTGGAGTTAATCTTATATTAATGTAGATCATCTATATCAATTTTTAGATTAATTGAATATATTTAGTTGGTTCATTAATTATACAAAATTTAATATCATTGAATATATTTTAAAAAATACAAATTATTGATTGAATAATTATGTATTAGGGAGGCTGCTGATCAAAGGAAAAAAAAATCGTATTAGGGTGGCTTACAAGCCCTAAGGCAGTGCTATATAAATATGTATGGTATTAAGATCTTTGGGCACCAGAGTCTTTGAAGCTATCTTGTCTTGATAAAATAGTAGTGGTGTTTGCCCTGTCAGAATTTCTCTTGCAAGAAAATGTCAAGTCAAGTTTTGGTAACTAATCTTATCTCCTTGCAAGATGCATCCAGCAAAAACAATCGTCCTTCATCAGCTAGTTATCATCCTTCCCTTTGGAGGGATCATTTCATTAAACATTCCCTTGACTTCACGGTAATTAACTACATAGTAACTTTTCTTATTAGTCTTCAATCAAATTTCTTGTGCTGCAAAATCATGAAATGAACTTTTGTATGTCTTTGAATTACTCTTGCAGGAAATTGATGCCACAGCTCAACAAGAATATGAAGATCTGAAACATGAGGTGAGGACAATGCTTGATGATTCCACCTGTGATCATTCAACGAAATTGCGGTCAATCAATGCAGTCCAACTCTTAGGCATCGATTACCATTTCGAGAGAGAAATCGAAGATGCATTACAGAGGATATACCATGATGGTGATACATGCTATGATCTTTCTACTGTTGCTCTTTGGTTTCGACTCCTTAGGCAACAAGGAATCAATGTTTCATCTGGTTAATCCTTTTCCCATACCTCTAAAATTACATTATATATCATCATTACATGATGTGATTTAGTTATGAGTTGTAATGAATTATGATGAATGTATTTATCATTTGCCCCTGAATTTATATTGCTTTTGTGGCAGAGGTCTTCAAGAAGTTCATGGACATGGATGGAAAGTTCAAGGTAGACTTAGTTAATGATGTCCCTGGTCTATTAAGTTTGTATGAGGCAGCTCATCTTGGCTTGCAAGGAGAAGAAATCCTTGATGAAGCGCTTGTTTTCACTACCTCTAATCTTCAATCAATTGTGACTCAAATTGAGATAAGCCCTTTGCTAGTAGAACAAGTAACTCATGCTTTAAACCAGCCCCTTTGGAAAGGTTTGCCTAGAATTGAAGCAAGGCATTATATCTCTCTATACTCTAGAGATGATCATTTTGCTTCCTCTTGTGGAACTTTACTAAAATTTGCAAAGTTGGATTTCAACATGTTACAATCATTTCACCAGAAGGAGTTGTGCAACATCATGGAGTAAGTTCTTATCTTTACAGTAGGCTTGTCACATACATCAATATATTGATCTAAGTAAGGCTTGATTTGTGTTTTAGGTGGTGGAAAAAATTGGACTTCACAACAAAGCTACCTTATGCAAGGGACCGACTGATGGAATGTTATTTTTGGGTTATAGCAATCTACTTTGAGCCCAAGTACTCATTTGCAAGAATATTTTTGACCAAATTAGTAGCAATATTATCTGTCCTAGATGATACTTATGATAATTATGGGACTTATGAGGATCTTAAGCTCTTCACCAAATGTATTGAAAGGTTAAATTCTTGTTTTCCTCATCTTTAGATTAGACGTATTGACCAATATGGGTTTTCCTAAAACATGGATTAATTAGTTGTTTTAACTTAAACTTAATTAGGTGGGACATCAATGTCATAGATCAACTTCCAGAGTGCATGAAATTGGTTTATGAGGCACTCTTAAATCTTTACAGTGAAATTGACGAGGAGGTTGCAAAGGAACAGAAACTGTATGCTATACGTTATGCGAAAGAGTCGGCAAGTATACCTATTAGCAGATATTACCATGTCAATGCACAATCCATTTACTAAACTTACATTGTTAATTCAATTTGGTTTTGATTAATATGTTTGAAATCCAACAGATGAAAAAAAATGTTAGAGCTTACCTTCTTGAAGCCAAGTGGCGTGAAGAAGGTTATGTTCCTTCAGTTGAAGAATATATGACAACAGCGGTCATATCGAGTTGTGTTCCGAACATCATGGTAAATTCATTCATTGGCATGGGAAAGGTTGCATCCGAGGAAGCATTTGCTTGGATTTTTAATGATCCTAAGATGCTTGTGTCATGCGCAATTATTGGCAGGCTCTTGGATGACATTGTCTCACATGAGGTATATATTTATCTTGCAAATTTTAGCACAAATATATATTAATGAAAGGATAATAATTTCTATATCATTCAATTCAACATAGTTATTAAAAAATTATTATTTTTAAATTTAAATTAAAGATGAAAAAAATAAAAAATAATAAAATTTAATAATTAAAATTATGAGTGTTGATAAATTATTAAACTGAAAGATAAATTAATTATTTGTTTTAATAAAAGCAAAAATATTAAAAAATATACGCCCGTTTATGCAGTTTGAGCAACACCGAGATCATGTTGCCTCAGCTGTTGAATGCTACATGAAGCAACATGGGGTCTCGAGGGAAGAGACTGTGGAGTCATTTCGCAAAGAAATTGCGAAGACATGGAAAGTGTTCAACGAAGAATGGGTAAAGCCAACAGTTTTTCCGATGCCTCTCCTTGCTCGGATTCTTAACTTTGCGCGCAGTATGGAAGTGATATATAAGAATGGTGATGGCTTCACAATGTCCTACTTGTTAAAGGATCACGTTACTTCATTGCTCGTGGATCCTGTTTTCATATGAGGACTTTATTTCCTGAAACTGTATTAGGATATAAATAAAGGTATTTTTATACCTAACATCAATAATAAAGTTACTTGTATTCTTAATATAGTTTAAAAATGATGAAAATCTAATAATATTTTTAGTATTTATCTATAAAAGAAACTTAAGAATATTTTCATGTGTTCATTTAAATTTTGAAGGTGTTTTTGCCTCCGAATTCCGATCCTCCATCCAAACTGCATTAAAATCAAGCAGTCCACGGATGATAATTTTTTTTTTTTTTCTTTTTCTTCATTTCTTAGCCGTATATACTATTGAGTTTCATGTATTTTAATTTAAATTATACAGTATTGTTCTGATATTAAAATTATTAAATTATTAATTGTTATTTTTTTATTTCTTTCTTTAAATTAAAA